TCTACAACAGCTACTTCCCTTTCACAGTCAATGCTGTACCGTACTTGGTACCCTGTAATGTAGGAATGACTAAATCATTTTTTTAGATATACAGTTATGCTTATAGCTGTATATATTAAAAAATAAATTGCCTGAATAAGCTGTGTGACAAAAGCTCCCCCCTCACCCCGAATCCTCTGCTGTCTTCTTTGTTTACCATGATGTCCACCTGTCTTTATAACATGTCCATTCTTTGCCTGTTCTGGGGGTTATGGAGTAAGTGCAAGTCTGGCATAGGCTCTGTTGGAAGCTCGTGTTTTAAGAGGTTGTAAGAAAACAGGTATTAATATCCTTCATGAGAATTTTAATGAAAATTGGCACTTCTCTTATAATGGCATATGATAAGACAAGTGCCTTTCAAAAATCTGTTGCATCTGTGGAGGAACAAAATATGTCTTCCTATTGTAATAATATCTGTGTGACAAGACTTATTTTCTTTTAAATTGATATAAATTGGCAAGTATTCTTTTATGATCCATTCTCTTTCTTTCCTTTGGAAATGGGCAAAGACCAATTTAGAATAAACCCAAAATATTCTCTATATAATATTCTCTATATAACCCCCACTGTAGTTATGCTCCTAATTGTCCCCAACTTGCCTAGAATTCAGAAAAATAAGTGATGATTTCAACACTTGATTCACTTGAGAGGGGAAAAAAAAGAGAAAGTTAAAATAAAAAAACAAAGGTTAAATGGGCTGTGTGGTGCCCAGGGTATGCTGGTTCAAAGATTGTGAAAAATCAGTAATAACTGCACAGTTCTGCACATGGGAAGAACTTGGTTCATTACATGGTCTGAGTGTCTAAATGACATTCATGTAACACTAAAGATTAAATCAATGTAAAGATGAAATCTCCTGAAAAGAAATTCTAACAAAAGCCATTTCTACAATGCACACAGGCTGCTGTCATATATTTAGGGTTTTCACACTTCTTTTGAACAGCAAACCATCACTATCTGCAAGAGTTGTTACCAGAATATAAACTTCGTTTTCTTAATTTTATTTAAATTACTGTGTAAGACTACAAATAGGGAAAAATAAAATCCAAAGGAAAAATAATTCCAGGTAATGAGGACTCAAACTTGAGTAGGTGCTCCTTCAGGGTGGTTTTGATTATATGGATGAAAGACTGGGAGTCAAAACACAGAGATTAAGAATAGAGAGAGGATGCTTAGGAAGGAATAAGGGAGGCATGGGACCCTGTTGGATTTCCTGAAGGGAGGCCTGCTAGATGGTAGAGACCCAGATGAAAAATATGTCAATGTGTTATTTCAGGATGATTTTTCTATTTGAATAGTACTGTTTAGTTTCTGTGGATAGCTCTATTATTTATTGGCTGGTAACTCAGGATGCATCCCAAAGCCTGATGCTCCTACTGTTCAGACCAGGAAGGCAATGGAGCAGATGACATTTTTCATCCCTCAGCTGTATGAAGTGGCTCCCCATCCATGGCGCATGAGGCGCTGGAAGCAGACTTGCCCCCTCAGGACATGGCTGGGGCATGGCCCTGGAGAGGAGATTGCCATGTATTGCCAGTCACAAATACCTGAAGGAAAGAAGGGCACGTCCCTGAATTCACACCCAAACCTCCTGGACACAGCAGGTCACTGCCTGCCTGAAGAGTGAGAAACTTCCAGACTGTGACCAAGACAGGTAAGAGCACTAGACTCCACAGGCATATTATTCCACACAGGCATATATATTCCTCAGAATATGCCATTATTATGCAAAGTCATGTTGTGTTACCTGAGCTGGGCCAGAGTATCTTTGTACGTCACCATGGCAGTCACAGCGTCAGACACAGATCCCAGGATCCTGGGCCCAAAGCCAGCACAGCCTGACCTCTGCTTCCAGTTCCAGCACTAGGCTGTTCTGTGCCAGCTTGAGGGTCAGCAAACATCCCTATCAGCACCTTCATGAGAGACAGAAATAAACAGCAAGGTAGTGGTACAAAAGCTCTTTAGCTATGACCTATCACTAATTTTTGCATCTGGTAATCTTCATATTGCCTAAAGAGAGATTTTCCTCTAAGTGACAAGTGTTCTGTTTCACTGGGTGAAATCCATGCCAATGCCATTTGCCCTAATGACGACAGTCCACCATCTCAGGAAAAAGTGACAAACTGGCAATATCCTGCAATACAGGATACAAACATTAGCTTGTTTATAATGTGTTATAATTGGAATGGAAATCATTCACAAATTAAATAAGTGAATAAACACAGCTCTCCAAAGTCCTAAATTAAAATACTCAATTGAAACGCTTGTCTTTGCCATTTGTGAAACAAATGTTAAAACATTTGAAGAAAAGCTTTTGCATTTTTATTGCAACTGCTCTAAATGGAAGAGTGACAGATGATGAAACACACCAAACATATTCAGTCCAGATCACAGGAAAGTATTTGTCACACTGTCACATAAGAAATCACTGCATAAAACTAGAAGACAATGATCAGCAGAAAGGTGATATCCATTTTTAGTCCTTGTTATAAAGCAGGAGGGGCACCAGAAATATGAATGAATCATCTTGAGTCATCCAGCAAAGTTTCACAAGGCTTAGCACAGTGACTGAGGTTAATCCGAATGAAGGATGGCACCATGCAGACTTGCTGAGTCCATAACTCAACAAGGGAGAAGGAAATCTTCCATCCGGATTCCAATGATTCCCCAGGGCCTGATTTTCCAGAGGGTTTTAGGTGTATAGTGGTGTAAATGAGGACAAAGTATGTTTTCCTAAAATTTCCCAGGCTCCTCTGTAGACCAACTTATCCCACTGTTTTGACATGCCCTGGAGGACACACTTCTCTCCACTGACTGTACAGAGGACCTTGGGGGACTATTTTCTGTGCGGAAACCATCTGTATCTGGCATTTAAAGCTGTTTGGTGTGGCTCCTCTGACCTAGTGGCCTATATCTGAGTTTAGTTCCAATTCCCAAGTCCCACTGGCCTGCCTGCACTGCTCAGTATCTAACACCTTTGTAAAAATGCCCATGTATCCCTAATGTCACCATCCAAAGATGGCAGGCATTCCCATGCGCATGCTACCGCAGCAGGCTCCCTGTACAGGCAGAAGCTCCTGCTTTAGACCAGACACTGGGAATCACTCTTTTGAATCTTTTAAACCATACTTTCATTTCCATGTGGTTGTAGACCACAGAATCAAAGAATGGTTGAGGCCCCAAGGTGCCTCTGGGGGTGGTCTGGTCCAGCCCCACTTCTCAAAGTAGGGTCAGTTAGAGGAGGTCATTTCATTCAGGACATATTGGAAAGGGGGTTGTAGCCAGGTGGGGGTCAGCCTCTTCTCCCAGGTGAGAAGGATGAGAGGACATAGTCTCAAGCTGTGCCAGGGGAGGCTTAGGTTGGACATGAAAAGAAATTTCTTCAGAGAAGGAGTGATTTAACATTGGAATGGGCTGCCCAGGGAGGTGGTGGAATCACCTGGAGCAGTTTAAGGAAAGACTGGCTGCGGTACTCAGTGCCATGGTCTGGTTGACATGGTGGTGTTCGGTCATGGCTTGAACTCAATGATCTCAGACGTTTTTCCAACCTAATTGATTCTAGCATTCTATGATTCATTTTCATATGGTTGTAGAGCAGAAGATCACAGGAAGGTTAGGCTCCAGGGTGCCTCTGGTGATGGTCTGCTCCAGCCCCACTGCTCAAAGCACTGCCAATTAGAACAGGTCATTCAGGACCGCAGAATCACAGAACTCTAAAATGGTTTGGGTTGGAACTTTAAAGACCATCTAGTTTCAAATGTCCTGCCATGGGAAGGGATGCCCCCCACTAGATCAGGTCACTCAGTACCCTACCCAGCCTCGAACAGAACCAGGGACGGCGATGTCATCAGCTTTGCAGTTACCTCCAGAGAAGGGGACACCACAACCTCTCCGGGCAAACCCGTGCCGCCGGCACTTGACCAGCCCCACAGTACGGGGATAATTTTCATTTAAACCATTTCAGGCGGCTCCTGCGGCAAGGGAAAAGCAGGAGGTGGCCAGGAGCCGCAGGGCCGGGCGCGGCGGTCCCTCGGGGGCGGAGAGGAGCGGGCCGGGGGCGTCCGCCCCCTTTTCCCCCCTCACCGCCTCCCACGCGCGCACCTGCGCAGGCGCGCGGGCACGAGGCGCGCCCCCGCCCCCTCACTCCCTCCCTCGCAGCCAGGCGCACGCACACGCCCTGCGCGCGCGCGCGCGGGGGGCGCGCACCTGCGCTGCGCCCTCAGCTCCCCCCCCCCCCGGCCCCCCCCCACCGCGCGCGCGGCGCCGGCCCCGCTGGCGCCTGGAAGGGACCGCGGCGACCCCTCCGTGCCTCCTCCTCCTCCTCCTTCCTTCATCCATCCTTCCTCCGAGCCGCCGGGGGACAGCCCAGGTGATCCGCCGCTGGGGGTGCGTGGGGATCTGTCTGTGTGTGTCTGTGTCTGTGTGTGTGTGTGGCGTCCGCGTCGAGTTTGTAAGTTCTCGGCGGATATCGCCCTGCTCTCCCCCCAGCCCGGGCGGGGTTTCCTCACTGGGGGTCGGTGAAAGATATTCCGCCTGCCCTGCTCCTTCCCCATCCTGTCCGCTCCCTCCGTGCCCGTAGAGCCCGCGCTGGAATCATCAGCGGCTGCAGGCTGGCGGGGCTTGCACCTCCCGCAGCCGCCCCCACCCCAAATTGCGGCGCTTAGAGCGGGCTTTGGCTGCTCTATGGGCTGCCTCCCGTGCCTCGCTCCCTGGGCAGGTTACCCTAAGGAGCACTCAGCCTGCGTGCATCGGTCCCTTCCTTGGAGGATAATCTCGGGCAGTTTTAAATAGCCTCCCCCCCTCCCCCGTTTTTTTGTTTTTATTTTCTATTGTCACATTTATGTAACAAGTGCCTGCCCTCACATCAGGCTGGTGTTGCTGTCTAGGGCGTTGCATGCTCCGGGGGGGCGATGTGTCCAGTGCTGTGGCTGAACATTAAAAACAATGTCTTTCTGTTGAAGAAGACAGGGGTTAAAATGAATGAAGATCTGAAGGTTAATTTGAGCTGGCTGCCTCAGGATCATGTAGAAGCCAGCTCTACAGAGAATGCCTCAGCTGCAGGCTCCTCCCTGGTTCCTGCCGTAGACCCTGAGCCAGAGCTTTTGGTAAACCCCTGGGACATTGTCTTGTGTACTTCAGGGACCCTTATCTCCTGCGAAAATGCCATTGTGGTTCTGATCATTTTTCATAATCCCAGTCTTCGCGCCCCCATGTTCCTCTTGATAGGCAGCCTGGCGCTGGCAGATCTCTTAGCAGGCATTGGATTGATCATCAATTTTGTTTTTGCCTACCTTCTGCAGTCAGAAGCTACGAAACTGGTTACGATTGGACTGATTGTTGCCTCTTTCTCAGCATCTGTTGGCAGCTTGCTGGCTATCACTGTTGATCGTTACCTCTCCCTGTATTATGCTCTGACTTACAATTCAGAGAGGACTGTCACTTTTACCTATGTCATGCTCATATTGCTCTGGGGTGCATCTATCTGTATTGGACTGCTGCCTGTGATGGGCTGGAACTGCCTCAGAGATGAATCCACCTGCAGTGTTATCAGACCACTCACTAAAAATAATGCAGCTGTCCTTTCGGTCTCTTTCTTGCTTATGTTTGCCCTCATGCTGCAGCTCTACATTCAGATCTGTAAAATCGTGATGCGCCATGCCCATCAGATTGCCTTGCAACACCATTTCCTGGCCACTTCCCACTATGTGACCACCCGAAAAGGAGTGTCTACTTTGGCCATTATTTTGGGGACCTTTGCTGCTTGCTGGATGCCTTTTACGCTCTATTCTTTAATAGCAGATTACACCTATCCTTCTATATACACCTATGCCACCCTCCTGCCAGCCACCTACAATTCCATCATCAATCCTGTAATATATGCTTTTAGAAACCAGGAGATACAGAAAGCACTTTGGCTCGTCTGTTGTGGCTGTATTCCTTCTAACCTGTCTCAGAGGGCAAGATCACCCAGTGATGTCTGATTGGCAGCCACGAGGACGCTCCTTAACATGTTACTTTCCAGACATTCTGTCTTTGGTTTAGATGCATTCATTATTAAATGGTGTGTGATGGGTTCACATAAAAACCGCAGGATGGACTGACCTTTTTGTAAACAGAAAACCCCAGCGACCGAAATCAATCGAGTGGTTTAAGGAAGATTTCCAAAATCAAAATAATCAGTGTTCTTAACAGATTTATAATGTTGCTCAGGGTCTTTTTGTCATATTACCCAGACTTTGCCATGTTTGCCATGATTTTGCATTAAGTTTACTAATTAAAATTAGATTGAAACAACATACTTCTTTAAAATTGTTTATGTGATTGAGTTTAGTCATACTGCATGTTACAATCTGTTGTTTGGATATTTTTTCCTCTTTAATTTTTTTTTAAACAGAAAAAATAACCCCAAACCAAGTCCTGTTACCCCATCTGTATATCATCAGAATACTCTTCAAAATAATGGCCAATTGTACTGATTTATATGGAATTTATTGTAATAATATCAGTGCAACGAATTTGCTCGAAGTGAGAAAGTACTTGTGCAGCTTTTTATTTTACATCTCAGCATGAACTAGGTTGACAATTGTTTTCAAGAGTTACCTGTTCTCTCATGTGTTCTGGCTGGATGTTAAAGCAAGAGAAATGCGTTGATTTCTTTTTCAAAAATCAGACATATGTTTTTACTTGCATGTGGGACATTGGAGCTATGCTGTTGATTTTAAAACTGATGAGGGTATCTTTGAAATTGATGAAACAGTATGTCCTCTTTCAGCTAGGCATTTGTAATAGATTGAAAACTAGGTTTCTCAGACAAGTTTATCTTTTCAGAACAGTATGAGAAATGTTTCATAAAACAATCTATAGATTGCTCACAGCACATATTTAGCACTACACCAAATGGTTCCCCTACATTTTTTACCAAGTCAATACTATTACCATTTGTTTTCGCTGTTCTCCAATGTAATTTTAAATACCAACATTTATAAATTCTCAAAGCATATCTGGTTCATAATTGTATGCAACCAGGACTGCAAGATGAAACAGTGTTTTCTCCTTTTCTGGCAGTTTCATTCTTTGCACTGTACACATGTCAGTTCACTTCATTATAGAACTTCATTATAGTTCTGGTCTAGAAAGCAGAGCTTCCTCTTGTGAATGGTTAAATTTCAAACTGCTTCTAACCTTCCACTGAAGCCACATTAAAATGCACTAGAAATAAAGCATTGTTTTCGGATTTGAAGACTACTTGATTGTCAGAGAGAAAATCTTCCTGGCACTTGTCTTCATGAAACATATAGTGTACCCTCATGTCAGCGCATGGGAGTTTAGAGTACTGCTTCCATTAGTGTTGATGGGAGCTCAAAGTGTTCACGCCCTGGCATCAGCAGGAGGTTATGCTCCCTTGAATGTCAAAGTCAGCATATTGTATTGTTGCTTAAATACCTTCCATTAAAAAAAAAAAATTCCAAAACTCAAGTGTAAAAATAGCAATATTTACAGTTCAATGAAAAAATATACCTGTGTAGTAGAGATAGTAGAGACAACTGCGCTGCTGGTCTGGACTTTTCCAAATGGAATCTGTCCTTTCCACGTGGACGTTTGGATGACTGTAGCTTTTTGTGGCAAAGTTTCTGTGATGTTAAGAATCATATGCTATACACAAAGCTGAATCTCAAATGTGAGTTGTCTGTAAACAAGACTCTGTCGAGATTTTTATGAGCAATAATTAATTTTAGTTGCAATGCTGGGTTTAAATTCCATTATTTATTTGGTTCAACCTTCATGATATTTGGTTCTTTCTTGGTAATCTGATTATTTTAATAATAATTGCATGGCATGATCCAGTAGAGCTGTGAATTTGAAGCTCCCCTGGCTTCCCTGTGATTTACAGATGCTCAGCAAGTTAGACTATGACCTCTGCTCAGTGTAGGGTATCGGTGTTCTTTATCTACTTATGAATGTTACTGAAACTCTAGTCATTGAATTTTCTTACAATTTTTTGTATAAGAAATACTCACTTCATAAATATCCATGATACATATGTGTGCAGTTTTGCAAGTATGCAAACTATTGGGAAATAATGGCAGTAAAAGTCATGAGATGAATAATGCAGAGAGACTGAATATGTAGGATGGCACTTAAAAAAAAAAAAGTTAAAGCCATGCAAACTTTGTTCCCCCTGCTTTTTCCCTTGTTTGTTCTTCTGTGTCAAATTGCTAAAAGTATGATGAAGATGAGCAGCTACAACTGTGACCAAAATTCAGTCCTGAGGGCAATTGTTGTTTTCCTTATGCAGATGTGTTCTCATGCTCTTGGATAACCTCATAGGCATTAGTGCTTTTCTCTAGGCAACACCTGTGTGGTAGGGAAGCCAGAGAAAAACAGCACAGAGGGAGATAATGTCATTCCCTCGTCTCATGTGGTTTCACCTCGTGTCCTTGTCATCTTCCTCACTCCACAGACTGCTCAATTCTGCAGAGGCTCTCCAGTGTGCCGGGGGAGCCGACCTCTTCCTTGTGCCAGAGCAGAGAGATTTGTAATTGGAAGCTTCTCTCCTGAGGAGCAGAGCAAGTCAAATGGAGGAAAGAAGGATTAATTATAGCAATCCCACAAAGCTGGCTCATAGGGATGTGATTTGCCCTTGTTTGAGGAGTTATGCATGGTTACCTTCCACCACAAACAGATGCGAAACATGATTCTGCCTCCAAAGATACTACTGTGACCTCCAGGAAGGATTTTACCTCTTCCAGAAATATGTTCCAAAACTGAGGCTGTGCAGCACAGGCCAGAAAATCCCACTGAGCATAGGTTTGCCTGCAGCTGTCAGGCCAAACTTTACTCTAGTCTGCAGCACCAGGATGGGTGCTAGATAACACACCTCTGAATGAGCTCTGGGAAATGGGGGCAGAGCTGTGGGCGCAGAGCTGCCTACCTCACTCACACAGAATTGCTTGACAGGCAGCCACCTTTCAGACCCTGCAGAGCTAAGCAACTCTCTGCTGTCCCCTCAGAGTGACAATGGCCCCTGTGCTGTATGGTGAAGTGCCAGTATCCATCCAAGGTCCTCCTGCAACTGGCAGAAATCCAGCCAACTTGCAGGTTCTGGTATTTTGTTGTCTTACCTAACAACAACAGTGCATAAGACCAGGGGGGTTAGATTCACCTTCTCTGTACAGAGAAGTACCTTTCATATCTCCATTGTAATGACAGAAGGTGTTTTTTTCCTTAAGATGTAATTTAGTTTAAATAATTGAAGTTCGTGTTTATTTATTAACACACTTGACCCAAAGTTAGTAACAGGTTGTATCCTGATGGGAAAAATTTATTGTCAGGTTTTTTCATACATTCATCCTTGAAAGTTAGGAGAGGATTTTCTGTATTGTCTTCTTTTTTTTTCCTTTTTTTTTTTAACCATTTCCCCCAATAGTAGTATTTCAGCAATAAGGAGAAATATGTCTTTTTAGCACAAGAGCAATAAAATCCTCCATTATGTGGATACTATAAACTGCTGAGTAAACTCAGAGCAATAGAGAGGAAGCAATATATACTTTAGACAAAAAAAAGTAACTTGCATAAGGACTTTTAGTAAGCATAAGTCTTCCTTTTTTAAGCAGATCCTATCAGACCAATGTAAGACATTATTTCTGGTTGATTTGTTTTATAATCATTGAATTCCTGAATAGAATTACACAGCAATAACATTTTACCTAAATTCTTGAATCCTGAATTTGTGCTATTTGCTGGAAGAATTATGTACTGCATTGGGGAGTTTTATTCTTTTCATTGTTTGGCATTTAGTTGTACAGCATTCTGTGGATAAATTAATAGTGTTCAAGATTTCCAGTTATAACTTGATCCCAAGAATACCTGAATTGGTCATGCTCATCAGAGTGACTGAGAGGTGGTGCTGCCTGTTCTGCAGAGAGCTTGGTTATGATACCAGTGAAGAACACCCCTGCCAATACCCAGGCTCTTTGGAAGCAAGCTCAAAGGACTGATGCTGCTTTTGTATCTTCCTACCAGGGACACTCAGTGACATAAGCAGTTGCATCCTTCCTTTAGTGTTCAGGGACCAGTCTTGAGGCATCTTGGAGTCGCTAAAACTCCTCCATGGACAGCAGTGAACTTTGGCAGAGACCCGTGCTCATGCTGTCCCCAAAGAGCTATTATTCTCTTGCCTTGTTTTCTTAGGGATTTTTTAGCTTTTAAAAATAAAATAGATGTGACTTCATTTCCCTAAGGTGATAAGCAACCTTATAAAGCAAGTGTGACTGGAAGTTGGGATAAAATAGCATTGCTACAAATCAAGCCCATGAAGCATAACTACACACTCATTACTTAAAAAGAAAAAAGTGATTCTGTAACATTCAGAACAGTGTTTCCAAAATGTTGGCCCTGACTTTTATGACGAGAAACTATGTAGGGTCTGTTTTTTCTATGTATAATAAATAAATAAAAATAAGAATTGGACGGAGCAGTTGCTATTTAAAAACCCAGCAGCAATCCTGTCACTTTATCTGAGATACTGGATGGTTCTAGATTGGCTTAGTGGTAGTCCAGAGATGTTCCGTGGAGAAAAAATAAGATCTCTCAATCTCTGCTTATAGAGAACTAAAAGGAAGGAACTATAAGGGAGTGGCATAATTTATATCTCATGAATAAGCAATAGGTCAGGAAAGATAAATTAGGCATATGTATCTCCCTCATCTGCCTGTAAAAGAATGATGGTACTCCCAATAAACTTGAAGGGTCTCCTGACTGGAAATACTTCTTTGGTACAAGAGGAAATTACCCCTTAAAACTGGCTGCTGCCATCTTCTTCAGATCAAGAAAATGCAGTTCCTTATAATGGATCAGAAATCTGAATGAGCTGCAAGGATATCTACTTTCATATTAAGTGGATGATGAAAGATGAGGGATGGAAGTCTTTATAGCTTGATGAATCAGCCAGATTCAATCACTCAGCCTTGAGCTTGGCCGGGAAGGATGCTTGAGTAAATGCACCCCCTGTAGGAAGGGTGTTAAGAACTGCTCTGAACTGCCCATTTGGAGCCTTACCCCAGGTACACAGAGCTGCCAGGAGGGCCCCGGGGGCTGCCCCTGTTCCAGGTTGTGGTGCAGCAGTCCCCTGTCCCTGAGGCTGGCAGTATGGCTGCCCCTTGTGAGTGCTGTTCAGAGAGCAGAGAGGAGGAGGTATGATCAGATGTGAGGTATCCCTTCCTTGAAAATGTTGCCCCATATTTTATTCTGATTACTACTTGTCTTGTTGGCACAGTCTTGGGTGGCCCCACTTG